CCATGACAAGGTCGAGATCCAACTCTCGACCACACCAACGGTTCCCGTGGCACCCAGCTCGCCGCAACCGAGAACGGCCCCAACGGGGCCCCCAGCCTCCAACCGGCCACCTCCACCAGGTCGGGAACTTGAGAGATCACTTCACCAACCATCGCAGCGGTGGGCTGCCAGCTTCCATCGCCCCTCCTCCAAATCTTGCCCCGCTACAGGAGGGGGCGGTTACCCTTTAGCAATCCTCTACGACTTTGGCTCACCTCATAGAGGGTCCCCAAGGAGGTGCGCACGACGGTCTGGAAGCCACACAAAGGATGCCGACCCCGCCTCCACCTCCCTCAAGGGGCGCACCGGTCCAAGCACCCGGCTACCTCGGGCACTCAACACTCAAATCGAAGAGGATGTCAACTCACCCCGACCATTGGACACGCGGGGAGGGGGTCACATCCGCCACAGACGGGCTCGGTATACCCGAGCCCGCCCACTATGGATCCGCCCACTGCCGAGCCGGTCCATGGTGGACTCGGTTAGGCCGAGTCCGACACGTGCCGAGCTCGGCCATGCCGAGTCCACCAACCCCTAACGTACTACAAGCGGAGGAATCATGTCCCCGAAGGTCGCCAAGCCGCGGGCCCCGAGCTCGGCGGCGACGCGAGTAGGCCTCCCGAGATGAGAGGTCGGGAAACAAGTGGTCGAGCTCCAAGCACCAATCGTGATGAGGCCGAGCAGCTCCGTAAGCGAATGAACGAGCTCCTAGAGGGGATGGTCGCGCCCCAACAAGCTACCACCTTGTTGACCCACCCCGTTGAGGGGCTCCAAAGAGATGTCCGAACCCTCTTGCTTGGCCCCGACGTCTCTCCAGGGGTGCCTACATTTACCCCGGCCCTCCCAAGGGGGCGTGATAGGTCGAGCACCCGGCTCCCCCGAACCCCAGGAGCTCAAATATTGACATATGTTCCCCATGGTCGCGGTCGTTCGCGCCGGCCCCGACCTTGGCATTTCCCTAACGGTAGTACAGGGGGGACGCCCCCACTCACTACCTAACGGAATAACATGTTATGGGTTACTTACCCCTCGACAAGGACGAAGCCAAGCCGGTGGGGAGAACCTACATAGTCCCCCGTGATATACACTACAAGAAGTCCTCCAATGACACCTTGCTACATTAGGTGTCAGTCATAGAGGAGGTCCACAAAGGGACCTGCCCGGTCCACTGGGTCGTCCGTCCTCTCCAATGATATTTCAAGAGGTCATCCGTCCTCTTCAATGATGTTTCAAGAGGTCGTCCGTCCTCTCCAATGATGTTTCAAGAGGTCGCCCGTCCTCTCCAATGATGTTTCAAGAGGTCGTCCGTCCTCTCCAATGATGTTTCAAGAGGTCGCCCGTCCTCTCTAATGATGTTTCAAGAGGTCGCCCGTCCTCTCCAATGATGTTTCAAGAGGTCGCCCGTCCTCTCCAATGATGTTTCAAGAGGTCGCCCGTCCTCTCCAATGATGTTTCAAGAGGTCGTCTGTCCTCTCCAATGATGTTTCAAGAGGTCGTCCGTCCTCTCCAATGATGTTTCAAGAGGTCGTCCGTCCTCTCCAATGATGTTTCAAGAGGTCGTCCGTCCTCTTCAATGATGTTTCAAGATGTCGTCCGTCCTCTCCAATGATGTTTCAAGAGGTCGTCCGTCCTCTCCAATGATGTTTCAAGAGGTCGCCCGTCCTCTCCTACAACGTTTTAAGAGGTGGAGTATCCCCTTCAACGATGTTTCAAGTCCCCCCGACGATGTTGTAAGAATCGAGTACTCACCCGACCTCCCCAAGCATACCCTAAGGGGGCACGAGGTCCGACCTCGCGTACCAACCCCGACGGAAGAGCCCGGTGGCTTAGTCCGGCAGGACCAGGCTCAAGCGGCTAACGTACCCTAAGGGGGCACGAGGTCCGACCTTGCGTACCAACCCCGACGGAGGAGCCCGATGGTTTAGTCCAGGAGGACTAGGCTCATGCGGGTAACATACGCTAAGGGGGCACGAGGTCCGACCTCGCGTACCAACCCCGACGGAGGAGCTCGGTGGCTTAGTCCGGCAGGACTCGGCCCAAGCGGCTTGCGCACCCTAAGGGGGCACGAGGTCCGACCTCGCGTACCAACCCCGACGGAAGAGCCCGGTGGCTTAGTCCGGTAGGACTAGGCTCAAGTGGCTAACGTACTCTAAGGGGGCACGAGGTCCGACCTCGCGTACCAACCCCGACGGAGGAGCTCGGTGGCTAAGTCCGGCAGGACTCGGCCCAAGCGGCTTGCGCACCCTAAGGGGGCACGAGGTCCGACCTCGCGTACCAACCCCGACGGGAGAGTCCGATGGCTTAGTCCGGCAGGACTTAGCACATGCGGATGGCGCACCCTAAGGGGGCACGAGGTCCGACCTCGCGTACCAACCCCGATGGAAGAGCCCGGTGGCTTAGTCCGGTAGGACTAGGCTCATGCGGCTAACGTACCCTAAGGGGGCACGAGGTCCGACCTCGCGTACCAACCCCGACGGAGGAGCCCGGTGGCTTAGTCTAGGAGGACTAGGCTCAAGCGGTTAACATAAGGCATTGTGCTAAAAAAAAAAAAATTTTGAATCAATAAGGGAGAGCTGATTGTCCATTCAATACGCCAAGTCAATACAATGTGCCCACCTCCCGGAGGCAAGAGCATAGAGTATGCCCACCTCCCGAAGGCAAGAGCATAAGGTGTGCCCACCTCCCGGAAGTAAGAGCATAAGGTGTGCCCACCTCCCAGAAGCAAGAGCATAGAGTATGCCCACCTCCCGGAGGCAAGAGCGTAAGGTGTGCCCACCTCCCAGAAGCAAGAGCATAAGATGTGCCCACCTCCGGGAGGGGAAGCATGCTTATCGAAGCAAGGTACAAAAGGACACACCTCCCGGAGGGGGCCATAAAATATGCCCACCTCCCAGAGGGGAGTCATAGAATGTGCCCAACTACCGGAGGGGAGACATAAAATGTGCCCGCCTCCCGGAGGAGAGACACAAATGTGCCTACCTCCGGGGGGAGAGGCATGTTAGGAAAAGTACAAAGTCGTGGAGCGGAAGACGAGACCTATATGATAATGAAGGGATGACACTAATCAAGCCGCTATCAAGTCTAAAATCCTTGAGGTTGGGGCCGGCCACGTTGGGGTCGGTCACGTTGGGGTCGGTCATGTTGGGGTCGGCCACGTTGGGGTCGGCCACGTTGGGGTCGGTCACGTTGGGGTCGGCCACGTTGGGGTTGGTCACGTTGGGGTTGGCCACGTTGGGGTCGGCCACGTTGGGGTTGGGGTCGGCCACGTTGGGGTCGGTGACGTTGGGGTCGGCCACGTTGGGGTCGGCCATGCTGGGGTCGGCCACGTTGGGGTTGGCCACGTTGGGGTCGGCCGTGTGGGGCTCGGACCCATGGAGTGCGACTCGTGTTTACTCTACTTCATCAACGAACTTCGGTCCAAGACGCTTCGACACAAGGCACCTCGGCCCAAGAGGGGCTACCTCATGAGCTCACCCGGGAGGAGGACAACTACCTCATGAGCTCGCCCAAAAGTGAACTCAGAAATCAAAGTCTCATACACGATGCCAGGGAGTCCAAGACTTGTTAGTGTTCTTACGGAAGAGAATAAGTCCCGATTGCGATGGAATCACACCAAAGTCGGCCGAAGAGGAATGCGGAAGAGAAGAAGTCTCGCTCATGATGGATATATTATGATTGGAGCAAACTGACCCGGGAAAGCGGAACAAGAAAGTATGGAATAGACCTGGGGCAAAGTGGTTGGGCCCCGTGCTCGGCCCAAGGTGCCTCGGACATGGTGAGCTCGGTCACAGAAGGTCGGCTAATTATCAACTCGGGGCAAGCGCACAGGAGTCGGCTCGCAAGGTGTCTACTCTCTATCGTTGTCGACTTATCACAACGAAGAGAGTGGGGGACTCGTGATGGATATATTGGACCCGGAGCGAACCGACCCGAGGAGACGGACCCGAGAAGTCCCCCGGCCCAGTCAAGTGGGCCATGGCCGAGTCGGCCCAAGGCATCTCGGCCTTGGGCCGAGTCCAGCCAAGGGTGGGCTCGGTACACCCGAGCCCACCACCATGGACTCGGCCACTGACGGGCCGGTCCATGGTGGACTCGGCTAGGCCGAGCTCGGCAGCTCGGCCATGCCGAGTCGGATGGACTCGGCTAGGCCGAGCTCGGCAGCTCGGCCGTGCCGAGTCGGCCCGCCTTGGACCCTGTCCCGGGGGGACCCGGTCAAAGCGGGCCGATCCAACTAACCCTGATCCTAGGGGTGCAGTTGGGGAGTTTTGTGCTGATATAAAAAGACTCCCTCTTGTCCTAACAAGGGGACTGATCACTACCTGATTATTACACAACAGATTCCTAGATTGCTATCTTCTAGCATTATTGTCCTATTAAGTCTTGTAATAGCTTATTAGCGGCAATCAATACAAATATACGGTCCCCAGCGACCTACGGTCCCTGCGACCTTATTATATCTTTGCGTCCAATTATTTATCTCGTACGTATACTTATCCGGGTTTAATAATTCGGGATACCCTCGGGGAATTAAATCCATCAATTACAGTTTCATTGTTTCGTTGCTCAATAGACAAATTAAAGATCGCAAACTTTTTTCCTGGTAAAGTTAGAGGTTCAATTTGCAGCGACTAGAACAAATGGTATTAAAATACTCCGTAATAAAAATTGCACAATTGATGGATTAAGACACATGATTTTCCTCCGTATAAAATAATATACTCCAATCCGTAATATTTTGTTATATTATTTGTGTTGTCCCTTTAGTTAAATTTTATGGCCGCCTTATCTCAAAGGCCAGCCATCACTGTTTGACTGTTATTATCATATCAAGGAATCTAATTTTCAAACCCTCCAATCATCTTTCATTCATAGTCCAAAACATGAGGCTCTCCTTGTCTCTAAGCTAAGATAACATGGCCCATACAATACACCAATTCCACCAATGCAAAGACCACTACACTATGAAGAGAAACCAAGAGGAGCCAATTGAGGAGGACAACACTACTTCTCACCACCATGAAATCACCAAGGCAGCAGCGCAAGCGTGGCACGCCCGCCAAAGCACCTCCCGCCCCGCCACGTCAGAGTTTGACGCCCGGCGCCTCAATTTCAAGGCCTGGCCAACGAGGTTCGGGGTTGAAGCGATGAGGAAGGCGTTGACAATGACTAACAATGAACAACTGGATTACAACAATGGTGCTATAATAAGCAGTATCGATGCTAGGAAATGGGATTTCGGGGAATCCCTTTGGGACTATTATGAGATTGTGACGGTGGCCAAGAAATTGGAGGTTGGGTTACTGCTGGACCACCCATTTGCTTCTCCATTGGATGAGCCAATCCGGATTAGGAAGAAGGTGCACAAAGAGAGTAAGAATAGCTTGAGGAATTTGTTTAATAAGATTTCTTCCAAGAGATTTAGTGGAAATGATGTACCACCTCATTAAGGTGCGGTGGATGTAGTCAATTTTAATTTGCCACTTCAAATTTACATTCTAGTTATCTTAGAGCAACCACAATAGTGATTTTTCCTCAATTTTTTAAAAAGAAAAAAAAAATTAGGAATTGGTTTTATCTAATAGGAATTTAAAGGAAGGGTTTATGGTTAGATTTTTCTCATGCAAATATGATTTTTGGGGAGAAAGGGGAAAACTTGCGCAGATTGCTATGCGCCTAGAAGACGTGTGCAATGCATGCGCCTTTGGGTGGGTAATACCTTTAGTTTTTTTGTTTTCTTGTTAGAATTTATTGTTTTTTTTTTTTCCTTTTATTTCCTCTTATCTCTCTTACATGGCCTGCAAAAAACCCCCACAAAAATCTGCAACTATTGAGATTGCTCTAGTATAGTATCCCTCATATGCATTTTGCCATTTAAATTTTATTTTATTTTATTTTTTTTTGAATGCTACTAGCTCTATTACATTGTAGTATCTGTTCATATACTTTCTCAACCTACTGAAACACAAAGAGCCAATAACGCCTCCACTGAGGCTCGAACTCACAACCTTCGAATTTAAATTTTATTTAAATTACTCGACTTTCAACGTGACTTGAGTCAATTGATATGAAATTGTCCCTCTTGTATTTCTTTTGTGACATTCGATGTTCATTCAAAAAGTAATACTATTATCTAGAGATGTAAACGGTGCGAAGTGAGACGAAGATCAGAGTATTTCTCTGCCAAGGAAAAGTAATACTATTACATTCTAGTTGTCTTAGAGCAACCACAATAGTGGTTTTTCCTCAGTTTTTTAGAAAGAAAAAAAAATAGGAATTGGTTTTATCTAATAGGAATTGAAAGGAAGGGTTTATGGCTAGATTTTTCTCATGCAAATATGATTTTTGAGGAGAAAGGAGAAAACTTGTGCAAATTGCTACGCGCCTAGAAGACGTGTGCAATGCATGCGCCTTTGGGTGCGTAATACCTTTAGGTTTTTTGTTTTCTTGTTAGAATTTATTGTTTTTTATTCCCTATATTTCCTCTTCTCTCTCTTACATGGCCTGCAAAAAACCCCACAAAAATCTGCAACTATTGAGGTTGCTCTAGTATAGTATCTCTCATGTGCATTTTGCCATTTAAATTTTATTTAAATTACTCGACTTCCAACGTGACTTGAGTTGATATGAAATTGTCCCTCTTGTATTTCTTTTGTGACATTCGATGTTCATTCAAAATGTAATACCATTATCTAGAGATTTAAATGGTGCGAGGTGAGACAGAGATAAGAGTATTTCTCCGACCGCAGCAAGGATTTAAAAAATCCTTCCCATCCTTACCCTCATTATAGTCTCCGATTCAAATTTCATTCTCATTCCCTTCCTGACCTGTCTTGTAAAGGGAAAGATTTCGTATCATATTGGGTACTAGTGCAATTGATATTTCTAATCCTATCTATATGGTCTATAAATTAGTCTCGATAATAATTTATAAACTATTTTTATTATTAGTAGCTACTACACATTTCCATGGATGCCTTGATAAAATTGGGAAAACCTCTCTCTCATAGTCTCATGTTTAGTGCATTATTCAAATATGATTCGTAATATGTAAACATTCAATTAATTCAATATACTAACCCCTTAAATGTATTCAAATTACACAAAAAGTTAAAATTTGTTAATATTATGAATTTAAAAAATGCCACTAATGAAACAAATATGGAGTATTATTCTGTAATGTAAAGAATCATAAGAGTTTTTTTTTTTTTTTTTTTTTTTGTTTATTTCCCACAGTTCCTGGTGGCAAGAATATATAAAGCCAGGTATTACTCCACTTCTAGTTTTGTTGATGCTACTATTGGTAATTGTCCAAGTTTTTGTTGGAGGAGTATAATGGCAGCACATCCAATAGTGGTAGCTGGGATAAGGCGCAGGATTGGGAATGGTGAGACAACTCTGATTTGGGGACACCCATGGCTCCAGGATAATCCAAGCCCTTTGGTACAAACAATTATGCCTGAGGAGTTAAGAGAAGCACGAGTAGCAGGTTTGATTGACTCACAAACACGAACATGGGATCCACATATATTATCTGATTTATTTATCCCTGAGGATGTGAGCAAAATAGTTAAAATTCCTGTTAGCCCTGATTATGATGACTCATGGTACTGGATGGGTGACCCAAAAGGAATTTATTCAGTAAAGAATGCCTACAGGCGTATTATTGGTGATTATGAGAATAACCCAGGTGATTTTGATAAATGGGTTAGGATGTGGAAATTGAAAGTACCACCAAAGTGGAAGACTTTATTATGGAGAGTAGTATGTGATATTTTACCCACTACCACGAATTTAATTAATAAGAGGGTGGAGATTGACCCGGTTTGTCCTATGTGCATGATGACTAATGAAGATGTGTTGCATGCGTTAGTATATTGTGAATATTCTGTATTAGTTTGGAATATAACACGATTACCCATCACAAACATTGTTACAGATTCGTTTGCAGCATGGCTAGCTGGGGCTATGGCAATTTTAACGGAGGAGCAAACACAGCTTTTGGTGGGCGTTTTATACAATATTTGGAGAGGCCGCACGTGTGGAAAGGGGCCATGTCACGGCCGCAGGCTATTGTGAAGGGGGCGGCGGTTTTGCTCAAAACATGTGGTGTGGTGCACGGCCGAGCTAAGCAAGGAGGAGTACAACCACAGTCCGAGCTGGGGTTGCTAGATAATCACATGCGATGCTATATAGATGCGGGGTATCGGCAGGAAACCGGGGAGGCTACGTATGGGGTTGTGTTATTAGAGCCCGGAGGCTCGTTTGTGGCAGCAAAGAATGGAAGATCACCCACTTGTTTTTCACCACTCATGACGGAGGCTATGGCTTTTAAAGAGGCACTGTCCTGGTTAGTTGAAAGAAGTATCAATTCGGCCAGTCTGCTCACGGACTGTATGGTATTACGTACCACCATTCACCACCAGACTACACCCATCCACTCGTATGCAGGAATAATAATCGATCAGTGCAGAACAATGATGTCTTTATTTAATTCTGTTTCGTTAAGCTATGTGCCTAGACAGATTAATTTACATGCTCATACTTTAGCTTCGTTAGCTTTTACTCAGGAACATTCTATGTATTGGGATTCTATCCCGCCTGATGCTATTATGGTTTTCATTAATTAATACAATCGACAGATTGACCTTTCAAAAAAAAATAAGTGTTTTTTTTTTTTTTTTTTTTTTTTTTTTTTTTTTTTTTAAGTGAATGTTGGGTTAAGATTGGGCCTTAACTGGGACATACTTCTTTACCTAGAAGAAATCAAAATTGAAGGTTTATTTTTTAAATCTTTTTACATGGATCAACAGGGAGGAGGAACGAGGGCGGCAAATTATATCATGCACCGCGCGTCCTTTTGTTAAATGAAAAGAAATGGTGTTTGTTTTCCGCCGTTTCGCACCTTTTCGAAAAAAGTAACCCTGTTATTCAGTGTCATTTTGTATACACTGCAGTTTCAGTTCAACATAACTACAGTTTCATTTCAATATAACTATAGTTTCATTCGATATTTATAGACTCAAATATGTGAAAATGTTATTTAATTTTATTTTATATACACTATAATTTCATTAAAACGCAACTACATGATCATTTTGATATAATTACAACTTCATTGTACAATATACACTCAAATATGTGAAATATTATTCAGATTCATTTTATATACATTGCAGTTTCATTTCGCTATAACTACAGTATCATTTTGATATAACTGCAGTGTCGGTTTAGATATACTATAGTGTCAGTTGGTGTTTAATACACCAAACAAGCGAACTCCGTTAACTATAACGGCGGACCGTTTCTTTACTTAAAGAAACAGCGCCATTTTTTACCGCGGTCTATGATATAACGACTGAACGAAGGCAATTTATATCCTGCACCACGGTGCGTGTTGCATTGTGCGCCCAGATGCAAAACGGCGTCGTTTCAATTTTTATTTTTTTTTGGAAATTTCCCACCCCAGTGTTTGGCAGCTAATTTTTCTTTAAAAACCCATGTTCAAAAATGTACATAATGTTATACTAGAATACACATAATTGTATACATGAATGTACATAATTATATAACAAAATATACATATTTTTTTTAAAAGATAATACACATAATACATAATAAACATAAACTTTTAACATAATACACATCAACTCTTAACATAATACACAAAAATTTCCTGATTCGGATGTACAAAATTGTATAAAAAAAATGTACATAATTGTATAAAAAATATACATAATTGTATGAACAAATATACATAATTGTATGAACAAATATACATAATCACAGCAACTTCCTACCGCGCCTCCCAAAATGACGTCGTTTTGGGAGGCGCGCGGTGCACAGTGCTACGCGCGCCGTGGTGTAGGGTATAACGATTGAGGAACGAGGGTGTGTTTGGTTCCAATCGTTATGTCATGGAACCGTGTTCACCATCCATGGTGAACACGGTCCCAAAAGTAACGGTGCAACGTTATCCTTTTTTTTTTTTTTTTTTTTTTTCTTAATTACCGCGCGACTTTTTTTCTTCAATTTTACATTTCGCAGTTTCATTTCCTCTTCGCGCAAGATTTTTCAACATTCATAAATTATGAATGTGCAGGCGTGGATTTATGAATGTGCAGTTATGAAATTATGAATTTTCTTTTATGAGATTATGAATGTGCAGTTATGAAATTATGAATTTTCTGTTATGAGATTATGAATTTTCTGTTATGAGATTATGAGTTTACAGTAAATTCATAATCTCATAATAGAAAATTCATAATTTAATAAATGTTTTTCTTTTATGCGATTATGAATTTTTTGTTATGGAATTATGAATTTTCTTTTATGCGATTATGAATTTTCTGTTATGAGATTATGAATTTACAGTAAATTCATAATCTCATAACAGAACATTCATAATTTAATAAATGTAAATTCATAATCTGAACAAACGGCGCCGTTAACATCACATTAACTAATTTTTTTTTTCGTAAAAACGATGCCGTTTGGGCCCGTGTTCACCATGTTTCCAGGGCATAATTTGCGGGTTGGTTTGCACATAGGATTCGGAATTGGAATGAAATCAAATACTTGGTAATGGACTAATGGTATGGGTTTTGTTAAAGTATTTTCCATGTTGGTAGTAAGGTGGAATTGGAATGATTACCAATATTGATGTTTGGTTATGTATGACCCTCTAATGAGAATAAATGTTTTAAAAATACAAAAATAAAAAATCAAGACAATTGATTCTAATATAATGACATCCAAAAAAACTAATATGAACAAAAAAAAAATCAAAACGAAAATATAAAAACACTAATTCAAACTTAAAAATCATATTATCAATAAGATAAAATGATATCTTTTTTAATTAGAGAATGTAGTTTTTAATTGAAGGGTAATCAAATTCCATAGTTGTGTTTTAAAAAGTTGTCAACCAAACACTAACTATAATTTTGATTACCCATTCATTGTGTATAAACCCATGAACCAAACGCACTCCGAGTTGTTATACCATGGACCATGGTTCACTTTGTTCCAAAACTATGCATAAATTGTGTATTTTTAGTATTGATTTTGTGAACTTCTAGAATATAAATTGTGTACATAACAGCTGTAGAAAGAGAATTTATGAATACAATACATGGTCACCAAATCCTAATCTGTTAATATTGTGTGACTGCTGTATTTGAAAGGAACTTATTGAAATTGAATCGTGAGTCTTGAATGCAAGACGATTCTACAAGTTCTAATTAATTTTAATTAATGATTGACTTATCTTTAATTATGCTTGTTTTTCATATATAGAAAGAACACAATTAAAAGACAAATAAAGAAAATAGAACCAGGGACACAACAATTGTTTATGCAGTTCGGAGCTAAAACTCCACATCTGCGGGGCCACTCACGTCAGTCAAATCCACTAGATGTTCACCAAGATTACAGGGGGTTGCATGAGTCAATCACATACAAAAGACCACAGCTTAATGTTGTATATTTCGTTGGTAAAACCCAATAATAATCCTACAAAATAAGGATTATTATTTAAAGAAAAAAATTGGGAAGGAAAGGGTGAAGAAATACGATTCGGGTTGGTGTAGGTGGTTAGCACAAGTTGAGCGAATCACGTACTCTTTCCTTAAAACCTTATTTGCTACCTCCCACAAGTGATAGGAGCGTTGTAGCCTAGGTTTCCCAGGATAAAATGTGCTATGATTCAATGTTTGAGCACCCAAATAAAGAATCTGGTGAACTAGAGCAATGGGATGAACATAGTAAAGCCTAAGAAAAAAGTAGAAGCAGAGTTTTGGAGCTGGAAAACGTGTAAGTATGTGAACTTGTTGTTCTTGAAAAAAGAACCTGCTCTACCCCTTCTTATATAGGGTTGAAGGAAATCAATAGCATTATTATGACATTTAAAATTGGTATTAAACCAATTTATAACACCTGAAACAGCAGCCCCATGATGTTGAAATTAAATTCGAAATTAATTCCGTAACGGATGAATTTAATTTTAAAACAGTCAAATCGTTGGCTTTGTTCTCCAAAGGTCGAACCAAATGACATTCGTTGGCTTTTGCTGTTCCGCTTGGCTCACAGATTCGGCACCTTACAAGGTCGAACCAAACGATATTTGTTGGCTTTTGCTGTTCCGCTTGGCTCACAGATTCGGCCTTACAAGGTCGAACCATCAACTCTCATTACTCGTTTCATCGTTCAGTTAATGGCAGTGATATAATTTCCAAACGACATTCGTGCACACAGGTGTCGGCGCACACGAGCCCCCATGTGTGAGAGAAAAAACCTCTATGCTATACAATTCAATAAGCCTTAAAAGAGCTCTTGTAGAAATAGTGGTGCAAATCCTCTTCCCAAACCAATGTGGGACAAAAGCTTCACTTTTTCCCTTCATTTTTCCAACTTAATGGGTCTACTTTGAGAATCAATATCTCATTCACCCATTATCCGTTTTGAGCGTACAATATATCAATCTCTTCGTCTCACTACGAAGAACCCAAATCCACTTTGACCCGACCCAAATTGGAAGTGGACCCCGCAGATAATTGTACCATAAAATAGCCACTTAACATGCCATTTTAAGCTATTTTTTCCAACAATCCCCCACATGATTGAAAAATTGATTTTCATGGTGTTTTGAAATCGGAAAGAACTGTGTTCAACGGTCGATCCCTGCATAGGATAGGTATGGGGTACCGCACCCTTTGAACCTTCCTTTGTGAAGATATGTTTAGTCTACTGGCTGTATGGTAGAACGCGATGTCTTTGAACCGACTACCGTTTGTGTAGACGATGACATATCTCACACAGGAACCTCCTAACCATGCTCTGTCTCATGAGTGTGCTCGTTTTGGTCATGGGTCACTGTAACACCCCGTATTTTCCTAAATATTTATATTAAATATAAATATTATCCAAATAGAACTATTTACTTATAATTAAATAGTTTGTTAAAAATATATACATATACCCAAATCCCTTAATTTATTGATATGGTCCATGTTGGACCGTGGACCTTTGACTAAAATAAAACCCGTTAGCCTTTTGGATAAAGTAAGGGGGGGCCCTCT